TTGTACTGGGGTAAAACCAGGCCCTGAGACAATAAAATTACTGTTTCCATATGTCATTCTGCTAGTTGAACCAAATATCCACACAGGCTTAGCAAATCTGAAGTCTACACTCAGGCAAAATGACCGCTGAAGTCAGTAATCCTGACTGTCCAGTGCTGTGCACCTTGTGAAGTTGTTCACATCAGTGCAAAAAAACCCACTCCCTTTCCAGAACCACTTCCAATGGTGCCATGGACTACACTGGAAAATCAGACCCTTTGACTGTAGTGGGGCTGCGCTTGTGAGTAACTTTTTAATAGAAAAGCTCCTTCCGTACTACACCGCGTGACATATCTGAAATATGAAGTACTCTTCAGTTTGATGCCTGCCAGCCTTGAAGATCGAAGCAGAGGTGGATTGCTGTTTATGTGCACGGCACAGTTCCACTTGCTTGCCTCTGTCAGCTGCACAGGCATCTAACCAGCTCATTTCCATGAGGAAGCAGGTCTCAAAGGGTGACTCCCTCTAGGATCTATATACTGATAGGTGCTGGAACAGAAGTAGAATATATGCCTGAAAACAACCTATACCTAGCAGGAAGGGGGGGCTTATTTGAGCATTAAGGTCTGTAAACAAGAAAGAGCCACATCCTAGTCAAAAGTGCAAAACTAAATATTTTAGTGAAGGCACCTCCTTTCATTGGCTCCACATTTCTAAAAAATACTAACAGATTTTATTTTTTAAAAACGGTGAATCCAGCTGGGTCTCATTTGCAGATGGTTTAGACAGAAGAAGGAACTTCTTATGCCAAAGTTATAGTTGCGTTTGATACCCTACAAATCAAAGTGGAATAAACCCAGATGCATCACCAATTCTATTCTGGGATAGAAACTGCTGTAACAGTTCAGACGAGGGGTGGCCCCAGCTAGTTTCCTACCAGCACATAATGCTTCAGGGCAACAGTTCCAACTCTTTACCCCCGACAATCCCACTTCTGGTCTGCACCCAAGCACAAGAGCTGTCTGTGGGTCTTGCGAGCCCACTTATTACGTGCTGTGAGCCCATTTGCGTCATGACCCCTTTCATTCTGGATCTTTCATTTCAGAGAGAAAAAGCAGAAACTTTGCTGGAGTCAGTCATGGAATAACCTTGTCTTAGATAAAATTGCTTCCATTCACCATCTATTATGAACTAGTTTGTGACCCTGGGTAAGCAGGCTGATGCCTCTTCTAGAATGAAATTATATGATCTAGCAGGCACATTCTTATTAACAAGCTTTGAATGTGCCTACTTATGCTAGATGATATAATTTCATTCTAGAAGAGGTATCAACCCTCTTGCCCAGGGTCACAAACCAGTCCATAATAGTGAATGGAACTTAGCTTTGAATCCAACTATCTTGACATCAATCAGTGCTGCCTCCATCAGAGCTTCTGAACAATCAGATCCAAATTATCTTAAGTTTTTTCTCAAAACCAGTAACCACTGTTGAATTTATGCCCAGGATATATGTGATCTAGCAGATCTAAAGTGATTCCATGAATGCAAGGGTTTTTGTTTTTGCTTTTACATATGATCAAGCTTCTGTTTCCCTCTACCTGGCCATTCTGTCCTAGGAAACCACCACTTAAAAGGCCTGTCTGAGGACAAACGCACAAAATCTGCCTCTTCCTGCACCATCATGAGTTACTTCAATGCAGGCAGCATCCACAACACATGCAAAACTCCTGTTCATATATAATGGCACCTACATTTCACCCACTATCTATGTTCACTCCCCAAATCAGTAGGTCTTCCTTGAATCAGTAAGGCTGATTCATTGCTATAAATCTTGTCAAGATGTGGTCACTTACGGCATTAGTACTGTCATTATGCTACTGCTAGCGATAATCTGCTCACCTGAAAAATGTGAATTGGAACATGATTGAAGAGAAAGGCAACACAACAAGCAGAACAGAGAAAACATTCATCAAATTACATCTTATCATCCAAATCAGCTGTAGAGTGGTAATAAAATTATTGCATATCCTCTTGCAAATTGATCTGGCTGTAACATATGCCACGTAACACTGGACAAGAACTCCAAGGACATTCCAACCCTGCATGCGCCGCTACCGCATCTGATTTCAAATGATGCTGAGAGTATTTTTCATCATGTTAAAAATCATATTTAATTTTCAAGTGATGTGTAATCTCATTTTTGTAACAATCCACTGGAAACGTGGCTCTGAATACCATAACACTGTTTTTCTTGTTGTTTTTTGTTGTTGGCTTCAGTATTGCCAGCTCAGTCCTGGATATGGAACTATGCGTGTTGGTTTGTTTCTGTGATGCTGATCACACTGGGCTATGCACGCTAATTTTCTGTTGGCATTTCTGGGGTGTCCAGAAGAATGTGGACATTTGTTGCCCCAGAGGCAGACCGGCACACCTTGTGCCACTGTTACTTGTCCCTGGGGAATGCCCGTGCCATGAATGCTCTGGTGCACAGCAGGTTACCCTGAGTGGAGTAGGGGAGGCTGAGGCCAGCAACTATGCTGTCCCCAGCAGCCTTAACTGGGAGCCTCCCGGGGCAGCAGTGTCAGTGATCCAGCCACTTGGAGCCTGGCCAGCAGCTAGAGTGTGGCTCTGCCCAGCTAGGCTCTGGATTCTGGCAGCACATGCTGCTGACATGGATGCTGTGCTTTTTTTTAGCAGCTCTTTTTTTTTTACACCAGGATCTCCCAGCGTTAAAAAAATGCTGCACTGCAAATTATCAGCGCAGCAAATTCTTGCATGTGTGCCATTTGTGGTTTGAGGTGCCGCAAACTGCACATGCCTACCTGTGGGGATGCACCCATAGGAGGCAGTAAAACCCTCCATAGTCCTTACTGATTTTCCTGGAGGAAAATTCCTTCCTAACTCCACACCTGGTTTCATCCTGAGGACATAAGCAAAACTCATCAGGCCTGAGTGGTTTCTTAGTATCATTAGGAGGATCTGGATTACTTTAAAAACAAGTCATTTTTTTAAGACTTTATTTTAAGTCAATTGTGTTTAATGTGTAACAAAGATCCCAATCCCCTATAAATTGACTGGACAAATCAACCTGCCAAAAATACTCTGTCAAAAAATCTAGTTCTATCTATCTGACAAATGCTCAGCCAAACAGTATGCTGTCTTGGTAAAAAGCAAGCGTGAAAACGGTAAAGCTCAGTATTAAAAGAAACGCTTACCCCTCTCATCCATCTCTGAACTGTTTTGTAGCTGAAGTGATAAATGCCAGCCCAATTCTCCAATGACTCTTGTGAAGGATAATAATCTCCCTGCCTGATAACTAATGGTGGCTGCCACTGCCACTGAGGTGGCATTTAACCTGTTTGTCTGATGGCAGGATGGAACACCTCACCAAAAATGATTGAAGGTTCTTCTTCCCTTAATAATATGGATAAGCTAATACGATAGCCACCGAAGCCATCCGACCCTGGTCAGCCTTGACTATAAGCATGCCTTCAAGGCCTGGCTTATTTTCATGCACTAACACAGCACTTTTATTCCTGCATCCAGAAATGACTCACAAGAAATGGATATTGCTACTCCCAGTAGAGATGCTGGGTTACAGGAGAATGAATCCTCTGAAGGATGCTGCAGCACTCAAGGCTTTGGAGCAGTGGGGCCAAACATTTTGGTAGGCGAGCCACCATGAGCCTCGCACCTTCCCCAGTGCCATGCCCACCCCCTTCCCCTGCCTGCTCTGCTGTTCTTTCTGCTTCAGGCTCAGTGCTCCCTGCCCAGCTTGCTGCTTCAGGCTTTGTGCTCCCTGCCTGCTCTGCTTTCTGCTCCATACTTCTTGCTCCCTGCCTAGCCTGCTGCTTTTTCTGCTTCAAGCTCTATGCTCCCTGCATGATCTGCTGCTCTACTTTCTGCTTCAGGCTGAGGGTTCCCTGCAGTCTGCTGCTCTGCTTGTTGCTCCCTGCCCTGTCTGCCACTGGGCCACCCGCCCCACACACAGAGCCGCCCACGCACACGTGTCGTGAGCCACCCCCCCTGCTTTGCAACGTCCCACTCACATTATTCCCATTCTCAGTCACATTGTTCCTATTCTTACTCCAATCCTTATTCCCAGAGATGTGGGTTTTCTGGTAAATTTTGAATTGGAAAATTTATAAATAGAGCGTGATATGATTTAGCATCTTTACTTGACTTCTATTTAGTAAACAAAACTAAAAAATACCCCCATGTAAATGTTATGTCCCAATAGCCACAAATACCTGAACTATTTGATTAGGAAAAAAAATTAAATACAGCACACTTAATGTGGTTTAAATGTTATATTCAAACAAATTCACAGCTTTATGTGGAAAGAAATTATTTTCATAGGAATACTTGTAAAAATGTAAAGACAATACACAATAGCACATACTTCCTTTACATGGTTTGTTTAAATTTAAGAAAAAAAACGAAGGCACTAAAAACTGTTGAGACACTAATTTTGGCACACCCGAAAAGCTGAGCACGATATGCTGCGCTTTGGTTTTGATCTGACCCGCACAGCCAACTGGACGAATTCATAATTTGATTTTTGGTGTGGATTATTATGAGTGTATTTACCTTCCTGTTTACACATCAATAAAACATATATGCACTCTCGCGCACACTTCCTAGGGACAATCACCTGAAAAACATTAATTACGACTTTGAAACTGCCAAGTTTGCCTAATATTGTATCGGCATCCATTCGGTGTTACTAATGGATTTTATGAAACAATGAATTTTTAGAAATGGGAAATTTCCCTCGGAAAAACAAAGCACTGGAAAACTTTCCCACGAGGGGAGCTGTT